AGCTGATGCACTGTCTCAAACACCTTCAGCCCCCGACACACGGGGCGGCAGTGGGGGGGGGGACTGGGCCCTGTGCCGGTGTTTCAGAGAACAGGCGTGCACTGAGTCATGGTTGGAGCTGGCAGACAGCAGGGGGCGTCGTCACGGCATGGAGAGTGTGGAGCTTCCTGTCCTCCTGGTTATACTGTATGTATATGGGGGGGGGGGGTCAGAGAGCAGAATAGGCCAGAGCTGTCATTCTTATATAGTCACTGTGGGGGAATACATAGTGGGCAAAAGGTAAGGGTGGCACACACTTACTCACACACACACATTTATATGTACATCTTTGTGGGGACCGTCCATTCATTTCTATGGGCGTAACTCTAATCACAGGAATGACAGCCTTAGCCCTACCCAGCCGTAATTTGAACTGTAAACAGAGGTTAAATCAAGGAGTAAAGGTAGCCCAGTCAGGCACAGAGCACTCTTAGTTCATTAGTTACATATATTTATGAACACAATTCATAAAGGTGCAGTGTGTTCATTTGTAGGCATGTTGTGTTGCCAGTTTAATGAATAGTACGTGAATTTTTTTAAACACATGTAAGATGCATGAAAATGACACACAGCTGCACTCTAGCAAGGCCCCGTTTATATTTAAACCCTGATTATAAGTAATCAAACAAAATGCAAGACTTTCGGCTATTTTATTTTTTGATTGTGTTCACAGATTTTCATCAAATTTTTATCATGTCCCCACAAGGTCAAAAAAAGTTTTTAATCGCCAGATGTCCCCACGATGTAATGTATACCTACCGCCCTCCCCCCACACACATGCACACACACCTCACATGCTAACACAGACCCTAAGCTGGGTGAATTTGTGTGTTTTCCAGTACTTGTGTCATCAGTGTGTGTGTCGGTTTAAAAAAAATGAAACAGGTGGCCTCTGAATGATCACCCCCGTCTTTACACACACAATAGTTGAAGGCCATTTTCATTTTCTTTCTAATACATTTCACAGCCCCCCACCCTACCGTCACACACATACACACACACACACATGCTCTCCACATACTCAACAGCTGCCCTGCTCTTTGGAAACAAAGCAAGACGACCCCCCCTTGCCCCGTTCCTTCATTCACACCACCACTCATCCTTAATCTCTCCATCTCTCGCTCCTTTCAGCAGAAGTGACCATGGCGGGTCCATTACAGTGCCCCCCCCCAAAGGGAAGGCCCCCTTCCCGTTTTTGGGAAATTTTTGTTTTTGCCCCCCCCCCCCCAGCTCCCCACATTCTCACTGTCACTCCAACTGGGTGCATTTATGGACAATCTGTGCAGTCGGACGTGAACCCATGCCTAAACGGTGTTATGGGCTTCGAACCCCCCCCCCCCAAACTGGTTTGACTGTAGACGTATCTGCAATTGCTACGACGGGCACACTGGAAACTTGCAGGCAGCTGGTTTCCTGGAACTTCGTTCCCATGGAGACAAGACCCCACCTGTCCCCCGCCCGCACACCCCAACGCACACAGAGCCTCCCTGTCACACAGATTAGGCACACCGTCATGGCAGTTACCGGCGTTACGGCAGGGGGTCGCCATTCATTTCCCCAGCACCCGCCCCCCTGCAGATCTGCCCCCGATCCATGTGGATGTGACCTAATGACCCTGCTGTCACACACAGGGTCCATCTGCTGTGGAGGGGGGCTGAGGAGAGGGCGTCCTGCCAGCACACATCGCTGACGGGATGCTGCCAAACACCCCCCCCCCCGCCCCCCCGACTGTCTGATTTAAATGATTTTTTTCCCCCACTCCCATTGTCCTATGAAGGTA